TGCTTCTGATTGGAAGACTGTAGGCGGCTCTCACTGGTGGAAGGGCGCTGAAGCTTCCGCCGACGCTGTCCCTTGGGTTTGTTGGTAGGGCAACACTTGTCGTAGTGGCTCAGACGACCGCACACATTGCACTGGACGCGTTTGGCTGGGCACCGTACTGTGAGTGACCAGTGGCCCTTACGGTCACAACTGTTGCAGGTAGACTCAGCAGCTGCACACATCTGTGTTCTGTGCTGCTTATCACAGTTGTTACAAAAGGAACCGGGCGTGGGCGTGGTGGGCGAAGGCGTTGGAGTAGACTTCTTGTCCTTCTTGTACCGGGACACAGCGCGTACAGCTGTAGGGGGAGCTCGGATGGCAGAGGTGGCACACCTGGCAGCCTCATAGGAGTGACATATCGTCAACACACCCTTAAGAGAAGAGGAAGAGTCGAGGGAGGTGAGGCGTTGGACAAGCTCCTCGTCCTTAACCACCATCAGGATCACCTGCTTCAACTGGGTCTCCTCGCACTGCTGGTGGTTACCTGGGCACATATCTACCTCTTCCGAGGCCTCTTGAGTCGTACATAAAAGGCATCAAAAGTCTCGCCCTCCATCTGTCTGCAGCTAAACAATTCCCTCCTGTGTAGAGCTTCGTTCCGCTGCCCTTTGATGTGCCGTTGTAGAATATCCAGTACCTCCTCTACAGATAACGAAGAGGTCGGAGGTACCTGCAACGTATGTTCCCAAGACACGCTGAGTTTCCAAGGACAGGCACATACGCAGCTGAATAAGTTTTTTAGGCTGTGACAAACTCTGGAGATCCACCATTGTAACATAATCAGTCCACCGTCGCCGCCATTCACGAAAAGTCTGGAAATTCACATCAGGCTTCAAGATGGGCGGTGTTTGAGCGGCCGCTTTAGGTGGGGCTGGGGGCGTGAAGAAAGCGTTGATGAGGTATCCGAACCAGTCGATACCGAGGCAGTGCTAGAGCCAGGGGCTTGGTTCACAGTGAGGCGAGATATCAAAGCTTCAAACCGTGCCCTGTCTTCCAATCTCTGTTGGTGGTCTCTCTCTTCCTCTGCTTGCCTTCTTTCTTCGTCCTCCACACGTCTTTTAGCAAAGTCGTGACGCCTTTCATCCCTCATAAACTTCATTAAAGCAAATATCTCTGGAGACAACGCTGAATATCGAGGTGAAGGGCTGCGCGATGTGGTGGGAGCTGGAGCGTCCTGTTCAGCCTGGTCATCCATCTCTGCCGAGCTGTCATCCGACTGACTCATCCAGGCATTGGCTCCACGACTGCGTCAGGCACGAGACATAATAACTTAATATGTGTACTGTGTCTTAAACCAGTGTTGACCGGTCAGCCCGTCGTATCAACAAGATCTGAGACAAAAAAATTAATTAAATGCACAGATAAGTAGATTATATATATAAAATATATATAAAGGGATGGCCGCAGTCAGTGTGTTCGTACGTGTGTGTGTGTGTGTGTGTGTGTGTGTGAGCGCGCCTTGGGCAGCGTCTCGCTGGGAGGGAGAGGCGGCGACTCACAGTCAGTCGCCAGTTACCTTCTGGACGCGGTCAGAGGAGGGTGTACCGAACTCTTCTCCTCACAACTGCTCAGAACATGCCTTTTACCTTGGGAATCCTTTAGAACAAGGTCACACAGTTATGGCACTAAACACACAATGCACTATACACTTCACAGGAAATCACTGTCACTGACACTGCTCAAAGTTGCTATAAATTCTTGGAGGAGACGGCCATTAGCGGTGGTTGACACAGAGCAGGGGTCCATTAGCCGGTCTTGCCACAAACTTTACACTTCACTTGTATAATGATCCAGCAAAATGACACACTGCGCCATGCATGTGTTCTGGGTATCAAGTTCTATCTACAGGAGCGAACACAAACACCTGTAGAGTTTTCGTAGGTTCTATTTCCTGGATAATTAGAGATACACAAAGATGACATTTGTGTGAGTTTTAGTTGCATTCACCCAACCAATTCACAGTGCAATGTAGTGCAATGCAATGCAGTACAGTACACTGCAATGCAGTACAGTAGGCTCTCATATTTGGACACCTATTTAGACTGTAAAAACCTCGCGAAATTCAAATCGTCCAAATTTAAATTCAACTTCCTATGGAGAAAATTAATTTGACTCTGGTACTTTCGATGTTTGGCAAAATTTTGCCTTATTTACCCTAATTTTTTGGAGAATTACTACCTGTAATAAAGCAACATCCTAATAAACCAACGAAAATAACACATAAAGTTAAATAAAAACTGAAAACAGCACAGAAAAAGTTTATTAAAAAAAAAACACAAACCGAAGACACAGCAATGATGGGCTTGGGTGGATGGTGGTTGATTCTGAGGCTAGAGGTGGGCTAGTTGGATGTGGGCTGATCCTGGGCCACATCCAGAAATCCTTCAAAGTCTAAGTCGTTCTCGAGTGGTTCAACATGTGCCGTTGCAGTATCCTCGGCCCCATCTGCTACGCGAATGTTCTGTATTGCGTCGGCTACATCCTGGCGGCATCGGAAGAATCTTGTTATCACACTCTGTTGTTTTCCCGGATTTTGCAGTTGCAAATTGCCATGAGAATATCATTGAGACTGTCAAGGTGGGGCAATGTATTTTGTAGCTCAAGGGCATCTTGAGTGAATTTCTGAATGATTTTTTCATGTCACTGCACCCTGTGAGAATCTTTGCCAGCTTGGCAGTGGTCAATTTTTCAATCACTTCTGGTTGTCCTTCTTCGTATGAGCTAGAATCAGAATCATTTTCAAGCATCTCAGTTATGTTTTCTTCAGAATTAAAAGTCACAAGGTTCATAACAGTGTCCTCAGTGACCTCATCAAATTCACCGCCTACATGCCTTACTGACTCTACTGTCTCTGCTAACAGTGAACCGTTGTCTAGCTGCTGCGCACCTCAGGCACCTCCACACTTGACCTTGAGATGAGGGAAGAGTGGTGTCCAAGCGTGTGTGATTGTTGGAACATTGATCTCATGCCATGCATAAACCATTGTGTCAACAGCATTGCGAATATTAAATTTTTTCCAAAATTGTTTAACAGTTAGGATATGGGCACGGGTGGAAGACGGTCCTTGGGTGGCAGAAAATGGTTCAGGTGTGACAGACGGTTCAAGGGTGGCAGACTCATTCTTATCTTCACTCAATATCACTAACTGTAGCAATTTGTAACAGTTCAACTTGGCTTTCAGTTTCATGGCTCATTTGGTTGTGAACGGTGCGGTAGTACATGAGCTTAACATTGGCTATCAGTTCTTGATCCAGCGGCTGTTTCTTTGAAGTTGTGTTCGCTGGAAGGAAGCACACTTGTACGTTGGGGTGGAAGTCTTCCAAATACCAAGCATGACCAGGCGCATTGTCCATGAATAACAACACCTTGAGATCTAGGTTCTTATTCCTGCAATGTACCCTTGCATCAGGGATAAAATACTTCTCAGACCACTTCTTTGACATATTTTTGTCCATGTAACCTTTGGCAGTCTTCTCCCAATACACATTAAGCTTATTCATATCTTGATTCCTGTACGCATGTGGTTTCTGATACTTGTGAATAACGAGGTTTCATTTTATGCGAACTAGACGCATTGCAAGTGAATAACACACTGAATCTATCCCTTGCGAGTTTGGTGCCTTTTGCTTGTTTCTCTGTTTTGTGCATGTATATGGTAGTAGGGGACTTTTTCCAGTAAAAACCAGTTTCGTCACAGTTGTACATTTGTTCGTAGGAATAACCACCATCTTCAACAATTTGCTTTGCACTCGCTGGAAATGAGTCAGCTCCACTAATGTCTGCAAAGGCAATTTCACCATGATACTTCGCCAACTTCACTTGACACCGCTTCTTAAAATTAGCAAGCCAGCCAACAGACGCCTTGAAACTGGGGGGAGATGAAATGTTTTTCTTTTTGCACACTGCACTGTAAATCACTCTAGCCTGCTCACGCAACTCTGGCCAGGACACGCTGGCATCCTCCTTCACTCTCCTTGCCAACCACTTGCTAAGGTATGCCTCGGTTATTGCAATGATTTTGCGATATTCACTTGTGTCTGCACTCATTCGTTCATGGGTGCCGAAATACTTTTTTCCAGTGTCCATTTGTTGTTTAATAGTCTCTTTCTTTTGCTTCAGTGTTCTTATTGTACTTTCAGGTGTACCTGTTAGTCGCCGAACTTCACTGGTCTTCATGCCTTTCTCGAAATATTCCACAACTTTCGCCATGTCAGCCAAACTATATTTTGCATGTTTCTTGCCAACTCTGTACTCTCTTTTTGCCTTTGGCAGTTCTGGGTGCTTAGGAGGGTTCCCATTCACACCAGGTTGACCCCCACCACCTACTGGTTCAACACTTGCCATATCAAGGGCGCGAAATGAGCGTCTGAACACGAGATCACCAAGAGATAAAGTTCTGGCTGTCTCAGTGCTTGGGCGGGAAAGAACTAATGGCACTGCTAGTGTCACAAACAACTAAGCACTAACTGGCGGGCCACTCAAACCCCTCGAAATTCGATTTTCCGCCATCGAAATTTGAAATTTTGTAGTTTTTTTTTTTGTCCAAATAAAAAACGTTGAATTAAAAACTTGCGAAATTTGAGAACCTACTGTACAGTATAATGGCTGAAAATGACTATTTTTTCATGTTGGTCATTTTGGTTGAACTGTACTGGTGTATATACAGTAGTTTGCAGCTGGAGTACCAGTCTTCTGTAATTTGTAGTATTGTAACTTACATTATAAATAAGCAGAAGTAGTATACCCTGTATTTCAAAATTTTTTACTTAGAAGTACAGTATGTAACTGGTTACATAGAACCTCGAGAAATAGATGTTGTGTATGTCACTAGAATACTGTGCCCTACCTATATGAATGTAGGATACAATTAGGATAGGACTTATACACAAATTTAAAATTCCTTGATAGGATAAATTATTTTATATGTTTTTAATACAAGTTCAGTATTTTCTACTTCCAGATTCCAAAAGAAGAGGAAGAATTAAAAAAATGGTTGTATACCAGGTATGAGGAGAAAGAAGCCATCCTTCAGGAGTACTATGATACTGGTACCTTTCCTGATGTTCACACTTCTCATGCACCTGACTTTCAACCAGAAAATGTTCGCAGACTAAGTGGAGCCAGGGTGGTCCATGATCCCTTGGAGTTCATTCTGCGGCATTGTTTCTTTATTAGCTCAACTTATATTTGGATTTCCATTTTGTACTGGGTGTACCAGACAATATTTCAACTATTATGGTGATCCACCTTGTGTACAGAATACTTAAGCATTTTGCTGAAATTTGTCAGGAAATGCAGGTTGCATTATTAGTCACAGTTCCAGATAAGTGAGTGATAAACCAGTCTGCTTGGTTCTGGTGCAATGAACTTAAACGAGTTTAGTTACTTAGTGAAAGAAACATTGGAGATTAGCGTGTGCATGACTCCCTTTTTTAGGGTAGATGAAACTAGTACATATTCTTCAGATGAAGCTAAGAAGAAAAAGGTAGATGTTAGATAACAGTTAGTAACGGAAGTGGTACATCTGTGTGGGAAAGTTTTTTTTTTTTAAATAGAGTAGTTTTGGATGCTACACAACAACAATGCTGAAAACTGTGCATAATCGATAGCATAATCAGGACTCGAGAAACTGTCAGCAATGCAGTTCTTGTGTTTTGCTGGTGAATGCATCTAAAACGAACAAAAGTTTATGAAAAAATGCAGCTTATAATTGCAGTCACTCAATGAATTATAGAAAATGAGCCTGTGTATTTGGGAATTTAGTGCATTGATTGAATGGACATTAGCTTGTCAGTTGTTCATATAGATGAAGCACTCTTGTTAATATCATGATGGGATACATTCTTTATTTCTGTATGTAGACCATGGTAGCTTTAAATATTTTTACACTTTCTGGAATCATCATGTACAATGCTTTCCCACTGCAGGTGTGACCTTATTGTGACAATACAGCTGTGACAGTGATAATGACAGCTAGAGTGAATACAGTCATGGCCTTTTTGTAAGTAGCTAACTCTTTAGCACTGGTTTAGGCTTATTATTTATCATATCATTATCAACCAGGCTAATGAAGAGCTTGTAGACACCATTCCCAGCCTCCCCTCTTTACACTTCAATATGTGTTTGTAGTTTGCCTTAATTCTTACAAGTTTAGGTATTGCTTGAATAGCAATGACAGAAAACGGCAAGTTTACTAGTACCATTCCTCAGTGGCGGGTGTGAGCGAGAACAATTACCTGCTGGTGAGTGTGTCGTGAGGAAAATGGCGCACATTTTGCCTCATAATCATTGCAAGTAGTTCATCTTCATTCTTGATGTTTTTATTTGAAAAACTATTTTGGTAACTGTGATTATTATCTTGATGCCATATGTTTTCTATTTCTTTCTGCTCATTATATATTAATGTAATTTTATGTTGAACTAATGTTTAGTTTCATGTGTTATGGATTTTGTTTATATTGTGCCGACTTCCTCTTAGTGTAAATATGGATCATAACTCATCTGTAAAATTCATGTAATTGTAGTTTTGAAATTTCTATTTATGAACTTTTGATTTCTGACTATTAAGGGTAAATCACACACACACACACACACACATATATCACTATTTCCTAAGTATAATTCAGGGTGTGGAATTATCCAGTCAAAAGAGCAAAGGTTTCATAAGGTATGAATAACTGTAATAGAAGGCACATGTTAAAACAGGATAGATTTATATCAAATCAATGCCAGTGCTGAAATTTTTTCCAAATACTGTAGTCATAAAAAATGATAATTAGCCATGTAGATTTTTGTTGTTATTATTATTTTTTTTTTACACAAGATCTAAAGAGAACAAGTCATTCCTTCCCAGTGGGAGATGCAATAATTGTCTGCCTCTACCCTGTACAGAGGGTCCCTGAGTTACGAACAGGTTCCGTTCCTGGGGACATTCTTAAGTCAGATTTGTATGTAAGTTAGAACACATGCTATGTGCTTACAGAACAATGTTTAAAATACCACTATATCATAGCCTAATTCCTTATACAGTAGTACCCCGATTTACGCGGTCAATTGAACCCACGGGGTACCGCGGAAAGTGAACAACAGAACATATGGGATTAATTCCAATAGAGACTGGCCCGACCCCCAAATTCCACTTTTTCTGACACACTACCTATGTTGTAGTAAAAATAACATCTTAATTTTATGATGGTATGCACACACAATTAATATTTAAGAGAAATACAGTCGCCAGGTTACTGTCCATTCAAATAATGGACTCATCTCCCCCCCCCCGCCCTCTCTTCCCAGCTCACTGGCTCCTACCTCTCTGAGGTATAGTAATAAATAATACCTCAGACTAAAGTTAGGATAATATAATTGACATTTCTGGATTCCTTGCAGGTCGGAATATTTTGAATGTAAACTTCATATATTTTGCACAAAAGATAAAATATTTGCTTTGTGTAAACCAAATTATTACATTAGATCTAAAATTTGTATGTCTAATGCAAAATCCATGTTGTTTATATTCAAAATGATCATCATATTGTAAGAATTCCAGCAATGTAAATTATATTCTGGCCAGGTAATTTGTATGAATTTTATGAGCTAAAACAAATATCTTCAGTAAATAAACAAAAAATATTCTTCAAGGACACTATCTGTCAATCAAAATACCCCACCTCCGCCCTAGCTGGGTCGGTCCCTCCCTCCCTCCCTCCCTCCCTACCAGAGAAATGTTTGGGAGAAAACAGTATATTTACATTTTTAGTAATAAATAATAACTCAGACTAAAGTTAGGATAATATAATTGACATTTCTGGATTCCTTGCAGGTCAGGGAATATTTTGAATGTAAACTTCATATATTTTGCACACACGATAAAATATTTGCTTTGTGTAAACCAAATTGTTACATTAGATCTAAAATTTGTATGTCTAATGCAAAATCCATGATGTTTATATTCAAAATGATCATCATATTGTAAGAATTCCAGCAATGTAAATTATATTCTGGGTGGGTAATTTGTATGAATTTTATGAGCTAAATAAAAAATTATACTTCACCCACGTATATGAGTAGATGCACCAGTAGATGCACCGCGGAAAGTGAAAGTCCGGTTCTGGCGAGGTACCGCGTAAAGCGGGGTAATACTGTATACATCTAAAATCATTTAATTTAAGAACAAAAAAAGAAATAGAATGACAAAATGCATTACTGTAAATGAAAGTAAAAAATAAGTCACCAGGTAAATAAAATGCTGTAAATTTCAAGTTTAACCCCGTTTGTATTGGCGGGCATTCATAAGTTGGATGTTCATAAGTCGGGGACCCCCTGCATGCTATTTTAGGCTTCATATTTTTTAAACGTTACCTGAAAACCTCCTTCTTGGAAATGGGGGACTATCAAAGACTCGGTGTGGTCAACCTGACAAATGCAGGCTTGGTGAAATGCACAGGTGTGTGTAACCAGTTCTGTTGAGAAACTTAGAATTACTAATCATTTGATAAAGAAGTTATTTTGTTTTGTATGAATGCATTTAAAGTGTGTAAAATGTTGCCAGTGATCAGACTTAGTATGCCTCTTCATGGTAAAAAGAAATAAGTCAGTTGCCAAACAGAAGAACTAGTCCATAGGTTTAATACAGACCCACACTTAGTACACCACTCTTCATGATCTCAACTGTTTATTTTTCTTTAATTTTTTCCAATGTCTTGAGTAAGTTAGAGTGAATGCTAATTGTTAATCCTAGAGCGGATATTGACCTGCTAGCTGCAGTCATGCTGTCTGTGATACTGCTATACAAACCAAGCTATCAGCGAGTGGGGCAATGTTGAATATTATTGGTCACATTTTGTAGGTGTATGTACTTGATGCTCCTCACTTGGATCATGGTGGAATGTTTCACTTTGTGGATAACATGATGTGGGAGTGTAGGATGTGTTCATTAATCAACTGGAGTGATGTATGGTACCACTGACCATCAACATTCACAGTCGTTTCAGAAAGGTAAAAACATTGCTTGGAGATTATTGGCATAAGATAATGGGCTGGAGGATAGTAATACGTGCAGGTGGTAGATCTTACTATGATTAATTTCCTTATAATTTATTATTATTTTTTTTTAATCCTTTAATCCTCTTTACTTACTTTTTTATGCTGTTTCATAATATTAGTACCGTATTTATTTCATTTTGCAGGACACTTTTTTGAAGACATTCCTTATCTTTGTATAGTGCAGAATTTAAAACTGCGGACCAAGTGATATGGGAAAGATTTTATTGAAGTGTGTCTTTATACCTCATAACTCAGAAGACAAAATCTGGCTAGTGTTTATAGTTTTGTGTGTATGAAGATGTCCTCTATACTCTAACAGAGTCACAACTAAATGGGGAAGAAGGTATCTTCATCAATTTCAACTGTACTGCACACAAAACTTTGCAGTTTTTAGGGCGAGGGAGGGCAGAGGCTAGGATGGATGGATGAAACTAACAGCTGTGATACCCAGAATGATACACAATCATGTAAGATTGGTAGAGATACCCTGAAGACATTTGGAGTGGAAGGCCATGGTTGCCATCCCTCAGATGGCACCTTGAATGATTCATTCAGAAGTTTAAGCCAACCTGACTTGTGCAAAACTATGAATTGAGTCCTTAAAGAACAAAAAGTTATACTTCACTGATACAAAGGAAGATTGTGATCCTTACAAAAAATTAAAATTAAATAAAATTTTGAATTAGAGGACAAGATTGTGCCCACTCATCCACATCTTTGAGTCTGAACACATTATTAAAGATATATATGATTCAGTATTACCCCATGGCAACTTGTTTTGTCATGATGATCTTTCTAACAGTAAATCTACAGTAGACCCTCATCAACAGTGGATTCCCATCCGCATATTCCACGTATCCACAGTCTTTGCTCTATACCATTTCACCAACCACAGCATTTAGTTTTATGTATCCACAAATTAGTGTGGCATCTTTATCCCTCCACAGTCTAATGTATTCTCCTCTGTAAATGTGAGGAATAAATAAAACCATATTAATAAATATAAGAAAAGAAAAATACTGCATTGCCGTTTTGCAATCATATCACCAAGGACACAGGAGCGGACTTCCCCCTCCCGATCCCCCTTCCCCCTTCCATGAGTGTGGGTTAACTCCCATGGACATATGAAATGTTTATTCTCTAAATGTTTTTGACCTTATGACAATCATTTCTTTTATTTATTATTATTATTATTATTTTATTTTTTTTGCATATTCTGTATGAACAGTTGTGTACATGTGATAAAAAAAGAAGAAAAACAAATTTAATTACGTACAGATACCCGTAAATATGAATTGAAAAATAACAATAGCACAACTTTGCCTGGTAGGGGGAGAGTTAGGAGGAAGTAGCTAGAGTGACAGACTAACCTGGTAACGTGCCAAGTTCACACACACACACCCATGCTCTTCATTTTTCTTATTTTATAGTAACATGCCATCTTCATGAAGAAACAGTACTGTATACTGTAAAATTTATACTACCGGTACTATTAATTTATATTATGCAATTTTATGTGTACTGTATTTGACTCAAATTTAATTAAATGTACAATGCATGATTTGTTAAGTTAAGGAGCAGGCAATTTAGTTAGGCTTCGAAGTGTGTTATCTGCAGTCATGGAACCTAACCCCCTATTTCCCATAAGTCTTTAGTCTTGCCAACCAAGAGATTTTTCAGTAACCTAACCCTGGTGGTTGGCAAGGGACTACTGTATACCTCTATCACTTGCATATGACTGTAGGAAGACCACTGAAAAAATTTTCTGTTTACTATTTAATTTTGGTCCTAGGCAAGGAAGTCCGAGACTCAAGGTTATCTTATGTCTTAAATCAGAAGTATCACGTTGGAAATACCACTTCTTGTCCAGACAGCAAAGTTAAGCAACGTTGGTGTGGTTAGTACTTAGGTGGGTGACTGCCTGGCCCTAAGAACACCAGATGCTGCTGGCATAAGGACTCTACTGGAAATAAGCCTTCCATGGCTTTATCAGCTATACTTGGTCAAAATGACTGAATATCTTATATTATTATAATATTAAGAAAAATACACAGTACAGGTAATGACATGAAACCTAATGAACAAAACACTAGATATGTGCAGTTTATGGAGGTAGGAGTCTTTTTTCAGGTAAATGACTAAAATACTGTAGTGTTTAATCCTAAGAGACATGTCCGGAGGAGAGAGAGGTGTGTGTGTGTGTGGCCCCTCAGGTGTCATCATATTGAAAATTCTAACATTTTAAGTAGTCCATACAGTACTGTACTTTCACTGCCAGAGATGTAGTGTGTTTCACCGAGATTTAACACACACTTTTGACTTGGCATATTAGGGCACATTTATTTTATTTATTTTTAATCCTTCCCCCAGTCCTTGAGGTTCTGGGCTACCTACTGTTATCATTTATCCATCATTGGCAAACACGTTGTTCGTCAGCATATTATGCCCTACTGTTTAATGAATTGGAAAGCTGGTTTAATGCAGCTCATTCAGCTTGCTATGGTTCAGACAGAACTTAATTTGCCCTCAGAGTAGAGCATACAGTATTTATTAATGTGACATTGTT